CACCTCAGTCTTCCTGCCAGCAGTGGCATGGACTTGGCACCCCATAGGGCCCTCGCTCCCCAGTGGCTTTCTCCCCACTGGTCTGTTGTGCAGTTAGAGTGTAGGTTGCCTTTGTCAGTTTACCTCCACCTGCAGTGCCCCCACCCCAGTGTCCCCACCACCTCTGTTCCTGCCCAATGCCTGCCAAATGCAGTTTCTATAATAGTTTTTCTCACCCCGCCACCAATCTTGGTTTGTGTTGCAGCAGCTGAGGCAGTAGGAGCTGTCTTTCCCCCCCTCCACCATCCTACAAATTTCCAGCATTAGCTTAAAAGTTCCCCATAAGAAAATTCATTGTGTTCCCACCCCCACTGTTTATAAAGAACCATGGCTCGTAGCTGCTTCTTCACTGGTCCTTCGGTGCCTTGCTTTTCTCCTCTGGCACAGTGCCTTGAACGGCTCACCCCCCTCCCCCTCTTTTGTCCCTGTAGTGTCCTTTGAATACACTGAAAAATACACAGGTGTTACCCTGAAGAAAATATTCGGAAGAGTACAAGATTAAAGAATCTACAAGGGACCAGTTCTCATCCATAGGGCACTCCGATGAGAGCTTTTCTGCATCACTCACAGCAGCTGAGGAAGCAAAGGGAGAATCACAAGCTCTCTCAAGGTGTGCTGAGCGTTCCATGGTGGCAGTCGGCCACTATTTTGTTAGCGTGTCAAGTACAGCGCATTGCGGCAGGGACTGTGGTCCTTCCTCCTCACTTGCAGTAATAGGATCAGGCTGAAATTCAACTACCTACACTGAGCAGACCTCCAGCCCTTCCATGGGCAGCAGAAAAGTGCCCCACACTTCTTTGGAAATGGCAGTACCCAACTCCAACTCCTTAGCTTACTTCTGCATATGGTGTGAAATAGGTGGGCTGCTGGTACTTGAGAACCATGTGCTAGGTGAGCTGGATCCTGAGGTTTCGCACAGAACTAACTGGAGAGCAGTGAAGGGCAGCCCAGGTACACAGAGGCCTTACACTGAAACACCTTTTTGGGTGGGATGGGAACAGGTGATATGGAAAAGTTGCAGACGTGGGAGGGCCATGTGCAAAGTGCTGACATACTCTAAAGCGTTTGCTGTGCGGGTTAGGACTCCACTGGTCATCAGCTGGAGATCGGCAATGTTTATGGGGCAGTGCCACACCCTTTGGGACTGACTCAAGCCACTACACTAGCAAGCTGCTTGGCGAGACCAGGAAAACCTTCCCTGCCACTCCTTCCAAGGGGCTGGTTGCTCACACCTGGTACCAGCTGCCCGAAGAGTGTCCAAGTGGCACTTGGGGACGGCTAGCAGAGGATGTTTTTCAGCTTTATGGTTTGTTTTAGAAGCACATTTCTTGAGATTGCAAAAACAGTATGTCATGATGGCTTTGTGAGCCATGATCAGTCCTTTCAAGGCCCCTCTTTTCCGAGAAGGACTGTTCTTGTAACCACTAATTTTTATAAATATTAAACAAAATCTTGCTCCTGAGCAGCTGCAAATGACCAGTTCTGCAGGAGAAGCAATAGGGAATCTGAGTTGGGTAATGGGCACCTACCCTCTCCACTACTTAGCAGAAGCTGCAGGTAAATTGATCCCCCCGCCTTCTGAAGCATTTGGCATCTGCCAAAATCAATGTGTCAGCTTTGTTTGTGAAATGGGACTTCAACATTTTGCAGCAAGATTCCCAAGGTTGATTCCTTGGTTTGTTTTTGGTGGGGAGCCTGTGTGCCCCAATCACCCGCTGCATTTTGTTACTCTAACATTTAGAATGCCCAGTGGTGAGGAGGAATTGCTCCCATGGCAAGTCAAGAAACTTCAGTGGGAGCAACTATGGGCCCCCTCTCCACAGAAGAAATTCCTGCTGATATTGCATGTTCCTCAGGAGGCAGCACTTTGGAAACAGTTGCGTGATGCAGGGAATGCTTGAGAGAGGAACTCCTCCCCAGAAAGCCTAGATTCCTGCTGCAAACTGGATGAGTTCCCCATTTTTACATCCCATCATCTACAGCAGTTTAGAGCAGCTACAAAGTTTCTTCTTAACTGAGACATAAATAGTTACAAATTCTGTGTTGTGCAAAACTACCCAGTTATTAGCAACCATGTATTTGTTTTTCTCTACAGAGAAATTAAATTTGTTTTGGCTGTGCCCACATTTCTGAGCAGAGCAATGTTCATTTTATTGCAGCATGCGCACGCACGCACACACACACACACACATGCACAACGGAACAATGTTTGATGTCAGACTACCAGGCTTACCCTGACAGCCTTTCTTCTTTCCTTTATTTTCCATGAGGCACCATGGCAATTTTTATTTTGACATTTTCATATGGAGGTTTCTTGTTTCCAGGAGCTATTTGACAGTAGATGCTGTTTTTCAGTTCAGAATATTATTGTTTAAATCTTTGTCCTGCCCTTTCTTGAAGACTTAAGGTGGGTTACAAATATATAGCTAAACTCTACCCATCCACTCCAGTTCAGTGATATGAGACCCTCAATGCAGTGCAGCCCTTTCTGTACCTGACAGCATTTATATTAATAATCACTTTTGAAAAACTGCAGTACTTTCCAGTGTCTGGAGAACACAAAGGGCTCTACTTAACTTAGTGGGTATGCAATATAATACTTTTTCCCAAATTAGTATCAATTTTCTAAAAAAAATATTCCAGCTGGGCATATCTTGTGACTCCTTGGAGGCACAGAAAATCTGAATATGACACTGTTTACAAATATCAGCTTTCTAAGAATTTTAATTCTCTCTCTCATGCTTGTGAGTGTTGGTGTGTGTTTGACTCTTAAGACTGAATGTCTTATTAATAGTACCTGCTGAAATCTCAGAAGCTTGGAGAAATTGCTGAATGAAAATGTCAGTAGTTGGAAGATAATGTTTTCGGTGCCCAGCATAATTCATGCTGATCCTTTGCAATGACTAGCCAAAGAAACAGGATAATGCTGAAGAACAAAAATAATGCAGATTTCCATACTTTACACATGCAATAGATTCCTACTTTTCTTACTGAAGAATTTGGGCTATCTGGGTACAGAATGATGCTTTTGCTAGTCTTTTAGGCAGCAAGTACACACCGTCTTAACCATGCCTTCCTTTTGCAGCACAGTCTTTAAAAGTTGGAGAAGTGGAGAGGCCCAAATTAGTATTTGCAAACCTCTTTGAATGGATTGGTAGGTCAAAAATGACTGCACAGTCCCCTTTGCCTAGTCTCAGTTCCCACACCAAGGGGCCACTCAGGACTGGGTAATGCTGGCCAGGGCCAGCATCAAAGGCTGTACGTAGTTGGGTACCTGTCACTGACAGAGGCCCACTGACCAAAGCCTCATGGAGTTGCTTCTTTTCAGCACTGCACCCTGTGTGCTCACTTGCTTCTCACTTAGGCCCAGGCGGTGGTGGAGCTGGAAAAGCAGAGCAGCGCAGGCCACTGTCTACTTGCTTATGAGCGTTCCACTTGGAAAGTGAGCAAACCATGATGAGAAAGATTATGAGGAACAAAAACAATTGGTGATAGTGGCAGGGAGGAGGTAGTCTCACTACGAAGGAGCCTTGTCTAAGGGCCCTCAAAAACATGGAGCTGGCACTGAGTTGGCCCTTAACATCCCCCCCACACATATTTGCCTGGAACACAAGTATGGATCGACACAGGAAAGGACCTAGGTGTGCACGCAAGCTTACAATACACTGAAATTGAAAATGCACTCAACAGAACACACAATACTACCCATTAGTGGGACACCTGATAAGTCCCTGAATACAGGCATGATGGTTCCCTCAATTGGCAGGTCAGAACAGGGATGCAAAGATCAGGTTGCAATATGCCTCTCTGGCTCTTGCTGCACTTTCTCATGCTCAGCCCTGACCGAGGGCTAAGCCAAGATGAGATCAAGACTGTGAACTCTTGGGAATGCTAGTGGGTTCTTTGCACAAAGGATGTAAAGTATGTGACTCATCGCAGAAAGTACACGAAGTACATAATTCTTTGCACAAAGTACACAATTAATTGGGCAAAGCATACAAAGTATCCAGACCTGCAAGTCACGTGCATGGAAGCAGAACTGTGCTCACACAGAGTGCGCATGGGCACTGTGTGTAAACTGCCCTCAAGGACTTGCTTGGATTTGCCTCCTGTTGGATGCCCACACAAGTGCTTGATGCATAGGGGACTTAGAGCAGAAAGAAAGTGGGCCAGAGTCCAGGAAAGCAAGTCAAGGAAATCTGATGGATTCCCACTCTGAAACTGGATTTGTCACACATGCTTAGGTGTTCACCCTCTTCTCTCTTTGCTTATATCCTCTTGTCCAGCATCTTTCTTAGTCACACATCCGCTGAACACCTACTACCAACTTCTGGCAATCAACTTCCCATAAAAGCAGAGGTGCCAGAATCCTAACCAAGTGCCTATCATCCTTCGACCATAATGAATAGCCAGGGGTACAGTGAGCATCCCAGTAGCATCCCTGCTGGTCCTTGACATCTTGAGAATTTAGTAACTTGGTCAACCTTTCCTGCATTGCATTTTGACATTATATGCCAGAAGTTGTAGATTCAAGGTGAGGGGATATTGGTATGTACTTCATATAATTTCAGTTGACCAAAAATAAAATATAACAACATTAAAAAAGCTGAACGTGATCATGACAGAATTTTGGAAAACCAAAACATTCCAGGAGAAACACAAAGGATTTTGTGGTGGGGAGCAGGGGTAGGAAAGAAAAGGTGATGTCTGTTCCAAGGATCAATTTCATGCTTTCCTTTCAAGAGCAGGATGGGTGGGATGAGAATATTTACAAAGTTATTCTCACAGGCATTCTTGTCTTTTCTCTCCTCTCCTGCTTTCTTACCTGTTCTTCGTATCTCCCACACTCCCCATCCCTACTGTCTGTCACTGTTCCTTTCCCCCAATATCTAGAACTCTCCATCAGCCTCCTTGCGGTGATAGTTATTGTATGTGGACTGGCCCTGGTGGCAGTATTTCTCTTCCTCTTTTGGAAATTGTTCTGGGTGCCCTGGAGGAACAAGACCATTTCAAGTAACACCCCTGCTTCCCAGAACCTAGCTGACCACGACAAAGAGATCATGGCTGACAAGCTAAAGGATACAGGGACTCTTGGCTTCTTGGAAGCAGCTGTGAAAATCAGTCATACATCACCTGATATTCCAGCAGAAGTTCAGATGTCCATGAAAGACCATCTCATGAGGCGAACACGGATGCAGAGGCAAACAACAGAGCCTGCATCTTCCACCAGGTGAGCACAGAGCAATATTTGGGTTGACATTTGTCAAGAGTAGAAAATTCTGACTGTTTTACAAAGCTGAAAAGTGGAGGAAGCTTCAAAAAGAGAAAGGCAGGCATTAGTTTATTTTGCCATTATAACTTTGCATTGGCAAGAAATGTTTGCTGATCAAAGAATTATACATTAATTTGGAATGGTCTTGGAACACCTAGAGAAAATATCAGTCAGGAAGCTAGAATAAATTGATTGTCTCTTTTTAAAAAGTACAGAACAACCAACAGGGAAATACCAACTCTAGCAGGACAAAACTATGTAATATGTCACCTAATAACTAAACCATATAATGATACTAGTCACACAGTGATTATGGAAGCATTGATTTCAGGTAAAACCTGTGCAGAAACCATCTGACTTTAAGACATGTGAGAGTTTTTAAAGGTCTTCTAGTTTAAGCTGTAGCTTGCAACAGAGCATAGAATGCTTTTTGGTGAAGCATTATTTCCCCTCATAGATGTGAAGAAAAGCAGACCATAAATGGAATTAGTAGCTGCACCTGAGGTTCCTGAATGGTAGAAGTTTCCCATTTTCTTAGCTGTGTGGACTTTTTTGCAACAATTCCATCCAAGGATGAATGCACAGTCCAGAAAGCCAAAGAGGGCCTTGGGAGATGGCAGTTGTTCTGTTCAGGGATAGACTGTGCGATGGACTTGCATATTACATATTTAATTATTGTTCTTATGAGAGATAGTGGACAGATTCACATTTTCATATGAATGGACATAATTTCATCTTTTGAATCAATACATGAACAGAAACTCAGTTATCCTTTGAAATGTGATCTTCTAAAATGTATTATATTAGGAAAATTACTCTTAAAAGGTATGTACAGTAGGCAAAATGGCATTCAAAAATGCATGCTTTGGGGGAGACACACACACATGTCTAAATATTTTCTTGCAAACTTTTGCATAATTTCCGAACAACCTTTAAAAAAAATCTCAATGGAATTTCAGACTGAAAATACCCTTAAATACAAAGCAAATTTAAGATTAGAAAAATGGGGAAATGATTACCCAAATAGGATTATCTGAATAATCCCAGCTGCAAAATCCACATCTCCCCCTGCCCCCCACCGCCCCTGAATGGAAAGTGCCATGCTGGCTGCCTCCCCCATTCCTTGCTGAGAATGCAACAAGGCCTTGGAGAGGTCACAAACCTCTTGGAACAAGGAGACAAGGAACAGGGAGGGAAGGAGGCTACTGCACTTTGATCCATGCATGGAATGCAAAGTTTGGAGACTTATGTGTAGCAAAGGTGTGGGGCACTGGATTATGCCATAAATATGCCTTAGAACCATGAAAAGTAGCATTGAAAAGATGGCTGGAACGGTTCCAGAGAGGAGCTGTGTAATAAATAGCCACAAATTTTTTCTCGAACTAATTTTGCTTAGATTGCTCTCAATTCTAGCTTCTTACCTGTTTTACAAAGAAGCCTTATATACTGCAAGACAGGGTTATCTTTGAAGAGACAAATTTCATCATGCAAATTAAATTCATGTGATTAGGACTGTTCCAGATCACAATAACTGTGAGACATGATTCTCAAAAAAGCTATTAAGTGAGAAATCTGAGAAAAAGCAAAATTAACATCACCTCTGGGGGCACTAAAATCTAGGGGCTCACCTAATATTATTTGCACTGTGTGTTCAGACCACAAATAATACATGGTGTTCAATTTTATATTCATGCATATACATTTATACTCTTTGGTATGACAAATAGGTTTCATTTCTTTCTGTCTATGGCACTCAATGAAAGCCTTATTTATTCTTATGAGGCAGAATGGAAGTTTGATCTGAGCCGACATAAAAGAAACTAAAATGTAAAGATAGTGGTAGCTGTAACCAGAAGTTTTTCTTCTTCATGGGGTGAGTTCAGTGTGCTTCTCAATTGGCCATGTGATTAAATGGTCCTTTACTTGCTCCATGATGTGGCCAAATCTATGCGATATAGAGAGTAAAGCATTGCTATAAGTATTTCTAGAGTGTTAGCCTAAATTGAGATGAAAATGGAAAGGGGAAACCTTCAACCCCTCCCTTCACGAACACCACATCCCATTCCAAATCAAGGCTGTGCAGATTTACACTAAAGCAAATAATGCAATCACACACATCTCTATTGAATTAACATTTAGTTTTCCCCTAAACCAGGGGTGCAGGACCTCTTTCAGTCCAAAGACATTTCATTCAGAGAAGATTTTGAATTTTTTCTCATAGAGAGCACCAGACTGTCAGAATGGGACTCCTGGAGGGCTGGATCTGGCTGCCAGCCCTGAAGCAGTGCTGAGCTTTCCTATCTGGATTAAATAGTGCATTGTGAGTTCTATAAAGGCTACATAATGGCTGCATCAGGGTATTCCTCTGTATTGTGACAAGTGTTATGTTAGCAGTGGACCAATCTTCCAGTTCTGCATTTTCTCACATTCATGTTTTTTCTATCTTTTTAAAATCTCAAGTTCTTTCTGCCCTGGTTATCATGAGTGTTGTTAAAGTCTTACAAGAAAACCATCTGAACAAAATTCTCACCTACCTGCCTTAGTCATATTGCATAGGTGCAGCTATTCCCAGCAGGCAGAAGAAAGTTCACTCGCACCTGCCTGCCATGAACCTGTTAAAGGTGAGAAACCTGTGGGGAAGGGAGAAGCCATGAAAGGTGGCAGCCTAAATCCAGCACCACAAACATGTGTAGATACACAGGAGTACAGAACTGCATGACTCAAGGTCCTCTGTCAGCCTGGATGATTCTCATGTCACTTTCCCTTTCTCCCAGATTAATATTTAAAGCTTAACATCTCTTTATGAAGAAATGTGCACATTTTGTAAGCCCTCATAAAAAATGAACTGAATGAAATTCTCACTCTTCCCTAAATAATGTGAGGTCTGCATCTGTTCATGTGAATGAGATCTCAGTGAAACCAGTTGTTCAGAACCCAGATCATAGTAAAAGTGGGGCTGTAAGACAGAGCAGATCATTAGGTAAGCACATAAGGAGGTAGGAGTTATGTCCATCTCAATTAGATCCATCCTGCTTTAGATCCAAGCCCCACCACCCCCTTTTTTAGTATGATGTGAATTATTTGTCTGTATCTGCCTCTTTGACCAAGGGGCTCAGAACAGGTTGGTGTTGTTATTAGGAATACAGGATTACAGGAGTGGCGTTAGGAACGCAGGAACATGGGAAGCTGCCTTGCACTGAGTTGGACCATCTAGTCCAGCTTTGCCAGCACTGAGTGGCTGTGGCTCTCCAGGGTATCAGGCAGGATCCTTTGCTAGCCCCATCTGGAAAAGCCATGGATGGAACCCAGGACCTTCTGCATGCAAAGCATATGCTCCATCATCGAGTGATGTCCCTGCTCACAACTGCAACTGCAAACTATACTTTTTTGCTAGATGCAGTGTGCAACCTATCCTCTAGACTCCTGTAGCAATCTCTTGACACTTGTGCATCACTGAACAAGAGCATGAAAGGAGGATTGCAGCGACCATTCAGCTGACACACACCTCATGGAATTGTAAGACACTCCCCTGATTTTATGCTGGTCTCTGCCAAAGGTTGACTTGATAGTGAACCAGCCAATGTATTCCACCCATCTCCCTCTGGGCTGTTGATCTTAACCAAAAGATTCAAACCCTGTTACAGTGACTTGACCTCATTGTGTCAAGCTGTCAATATGCTTGTGGCCACTTTAATTTTGTTAGAACTCAGGGAGGCAGAGAGACATATCAGTGACTGTCAGAAGGAATTACAGCCTTTTGCTCTCTTTCTTGCTTATGTGGCTCAAAGCAGGAAGAATTAGATAAACGGAATTGACATCTCACTCACTGCACTGGCTTAGAGGAAGCTGCATCCCAGTGTTCAAGATCAGCCACTGCCTCAGGGTCACTTGAGCCTCAGATGGAAGGCTGATATAAGAGGATTCATTACAAAGAAAGGCTGGGTCTGTAGGGATTGTGAGCTGAGGATGGCCTGGGACTTGGAGAATCCTTTTTCCAGGAGTCATTGACACTGATGTCTCATTCAACAAGTCATTTCAGCTGAGATGTGGGATGACTTCATCTATGCTGTATTTTGGCACATGATAAAGGAGTAACATATATTCAGATACCTATCAGTCTGCCCTATAGAGGTTTATGGTTGCTCTTTTTACTTTTCTTTTTTCTGTTTTGAAATTTCCTTGCTTTTTCTCACAAGGACATTGTTGATTCAAAGCATCTATTTTAGCATTTCCCAAGCTGCTGCCCTGTTCCAGATGTTTTGGGCTACAAGCGCTGACACTCTGTTCATGCTGCTTGACATTTGGAGTTTCAAAAACCACTATCCCTAGTCAGTGTTTATAATACCAGACTGGATAGTTTAATTGTCTAACTCACTGTAAGGCAGCTACCTATGCTCTATGATCCCAACAACACAAACTTTCTCTGAACTCCTTGGTCAGAGTGTGAGATACTCACAAAAAACCATATACCATTGCACCAAAAAGTATACAATGACTATACCTTGTAATGGAAGCAGAATGACTGTAATGAAGATGGATGCACTCCCACATCTGTAGAAATGAGGAAGCCATGGTCCAGAAGACAGAGAAAGTACGCACAGAGAAAATAGACCTGCAGAAGAAGCATGTGAGGTAATGAGCTCAGACTTGTCTTTGGGGACACTAACCAAAGCACTGTCATCAGTTTCTGCTTATGACTATCAACGGAGCCTGCAAATCACATCTAAAGTCTTCTGTCTGGAGAGTTGTGAAAGACTGAACAGGAGAGTTTATCTTTATGCTGTATGGCTGCCATTCCTTGTTCAACATTTCCTCAGTCATTTACATCCATTAGGTTCACTGACAGAAGTCATTTGTGTGGGAGGGGAGAAGAGAAACAAGCATAAAATTGTTTCGAACTCAATTAAAAAGTTATCCTGGAACTTATAAATATAGAGAAACTCTCCTGTATTGCAAACCGTGAAGAAATGTGATATTTACATACTTGTTCAATCAGATATATGTCAGCATAATGGTGCAACAGGAAAATAAATATGTGTTAATCAGGATATTTGGTAATGTGAAAATTACAGAAGAACTCCCATCCCAGCAGCTGAGAAAGGGAGCAGGTTCAGATTAGATAGAAAACATGCACAAACCTCAAGAATGATTGATTCATGGGAACATACCAAAAACTGAACTTGAATAGGGACACATTATTCACCTCACCCCCTTTTCTCTTGGCACCTCTAAGAAGTCAGGTGGAATCAGCACAAACATCAAAGAATGCTTCACTCTGCATGGAAGGCTAAAATCTTAGTGATGCTTGTTAGTGTTGAGGAGTTTGCTATTAAGATGGAATGGGAGAGGGTTTATGATCTCTCTGTCTCTCTCTCCCCAAGCCTTTGCCGGTCCTGCAGGTGACTGTGGGACTGCACTCAGCAGCTCATCAGTATTCTTTATTCCTGAATAATGCCAGCTGGGCAGCCATAATTGCTTCCTATGGTGCCCCTGGGAATGACACTGTCTCATTACTTAGCATTCTTTCCATTGGGTCATTTCATAGGGGTGGTGACTGTGCTGGAATGCTGTCTCATCACAATGTTAAGTCCTATGCCCCCAATAAATATTACTAGAATTTGTCACATTCCTCTGGAAAGTCACAGAAAATGCCACGCCCATTTTTACAGAAGATCCATGAGTGGAAATTTTCACCAATCATTCAGTTCACTGACAATTGCATCAGATGGCACAGGAAAACATAATTTCATACAATCCTAGATTCTTATTAATTGGTAGTCCTTAGACAAAGTATTTTCCCAAGACAATAATGCTTAATGGTTTTGGTATATGAGGTGTTCCCAGAAGGAAGACTACAGTTCCACATCAGTGCTCTGTCCTCCAGGTCAGAAATAGTAAATTGGGACTTTCTAATCAGAGTTCAGACTATTCTGGTGTGCTGTGCTGTGCTGTGCAAAGCAAAGCACCAACTATTTCCTTTTCTTTAGATCACGCAAAATATTTTGCTTCCTTACAATGAATACGACTTCCTCCTTGTAGTCTGGTTCTTATGGATCTAATTCCTAGAATTGGTCTGAAAGTGCTTTAATTAAACTCCCCCTCAGAGAAACAGAGCTACCCATCCACCAGCTCCACACAAATCACCTCTGGTGTTAGCTGACTCATGCCTTCCACAATGCCAGGTATGTGCTTGCATGGCCTGGGAGCATGAGCAACACAGGCCACCACTTACATAGTTTCTGGCCGAAGGTTTTGCTGGGCCCATGCACTGTAGTCTGGATAGCAGGATTCTGCTGTGGGATAGATTCTGAGCAGGAGACAGTTCAGACTAGGTTAGATTCTTCTGGGAAGAAAGGCAAAAAGAGATCAGCACCACAGAAAGAAACCTCTAGTGACACTGGGGCTGGAAGATATTGGTATGTTGTTCCAACGAGGATCACTGCAAGAAAGAGATTTAAATATTAGTGTTGCTGAATTTAGGTTGATTGACACCACCTCCATATGTCTGAGGCTTTGGTTCTTGAAGGAGCGTTGCCTTAGGGACGTGGGACCCATTCCCATTCCAGCCCACAGTGGCAGACTACAGCAGATTCCCCCGCCCCCCCCCCCATTCTGGATACATTTTGAATTTTATAATTTGTGAACACTGAACTAAGAAATCAAAATTTCATGTGCATATTTATGGTGATATGAAATGAAAAACCTGCCCTGGTCAATGTCCTCGGGAGTCTGCTGCCAAAGTACAGTAGCACTACCATGAACATTGACCAAGAGAAGCTGCAAATAGGTTAGTTTGTTACTTTGGGCTTGCCTGACAGCTGTCAAATGGCAAAGAGCGGAGTGAAAACAAACCTCAAGAGGACCCTTTCTCACAAAAGAAGGTAATGTATATATCAGTCCCTTCATGGCAAGATCCTCTGGGGATCTGTTATGTTTTGGTTTTGCGGAACTGACAGTTCCCAGTGACCTACACTTTTTCTACCCTTTCCTGATACTCCAGGTGTTTGGGAAAGGGGAAAAGTGTAAGTCACCCCATTAATGGGATCACAGAATTTTTACAGACGTCAAAACAAAGCTTCTGTTTAAAAGGAGGGTTTTGACAGGGCTAAACTTTTTTTGACAACTTAGGTCTATGTATACAGATTTCAGGGTCCTAGTTTATGACACTACTCTGTTCCTTCTTTAGGAAGATATTGGTTAATCAGTAGGAGTCCACCCCTAACACAGAGTCAGCAAGTAACACTGAACTCACAGATCCAACAGAGTCCAGCCAGTGTGTCTGTGTATGGAAAAATAGATGATTAGGTAGATGCAGACGCGGATTTGAAAAAAAATGTATACTTTTGCCTTCTATGTGTATATTATCTCAGGGTCTGATGCTATTCCTGCAATGTGAGACTGCCAAAAAAATTAATAAATGGAGCAAATGGATTTTTTTCCCATTGTGAGAAGATTCCTCTTGCCTGCTCACCTCCTTCATTATGTTTGCACAATGATCATACTGCCATTTCAGGAGGGGGTGTGTGTAACCCTGCTTGAGAACTAAGGGGAAATGCACTCTTCATCTCTAGAAAATTGAGATTGCTTGTACAAGCCCCACAAAGAGCAAAATCATCTCAATGGGATTTATTGCTTTAGCAGTAATTTGAAATTTTATGAGTTCCTTGCATTCATGATCATCAAATGTTTTCTTCCATTGCAATCAATTGAACTTACAGGCAATCCATTTCCAGCTCGGAAGCTCTGTTCATGATAGAATAATAGGGTCAGAATGGGCAAACAAGACCATCAGGTCCAACCCCCTGCTGCTGCAGGATGCCAGTTACACCAGATGCTAGTTATTCAAATAACTGTCTAGCTTCTTCTTGAATATCTCCAGTATGGAAGAAAGCAAAACCTTTTTTGGAAACTGGTTGCATGGTTGTATTCTCTGACAGGCAAGAAGTTCTTCCTTGTATCTCGCACCTGGTATACTGTAGTTTAAGTTCGTTGTTCCATGTCCTACACCCTGGGATGAGCAAGAAGAGGTCTTTTCCTTCTTCTTTGAGACTGCCTTTGAGGTATTGATTTATTTCTTATTTAAAACATTTGTATGCCACCCAATTGTGCCACAGCACCTTTGGGCGGCTCACAGTCACAGGTACCTGTAGACTAGAGTATCGTTCATGTGGTTGTGGTAGCATCCATGCAGACACTGCCAGGAGTAATTCCAGACCAAACATCTGAATTCTTCTTTGTAGTAGGTAAAGGGTTCTAGATCACTAGCAGAGCATGTTCTTCATGCAAAAGTCCCAGATCCATCTCTGTTTTCTCCATTAGGGCTCCAAAAGGGCTGTGAAACACCATGTCTGATACAATCACTGCCAGTCACGTTTGCCCAGCCTTCCCTGATCTTGTGCTAAAGGTGATTTAGACAACACCCATCATCTCTGACTATTGGCCATCCTTATTCTGGTTGATGGAAGCTCTAGTCCAAAACATCTGAGGACTTCAAGTTTGGGAAGGCTTAGACAATACTAAGCTAGAATAATTCTGATTCAGTACAGGGAAGTTGTTTTATTCTTAGAGATGGAAATCAAAGGGAGAACTAGTACGTAGCCTTGACTTCTTTGGACATTTTTTTTTAAATTTAAAGACAAATTTTACCTAGTGAAGGGTAATGGAAGGGAAATGATAAAGTCCCAGTGTGCATTTTCCTTTTTCGGGTCATGGGGAGAAGGAGGATTATTTTTATCCTCTTGTATAACATAGTCTGGATCCAAATAAGGAAAGCGAAAAAACAAATAGGCATGTCATCACGCCAGAATGGCATGTCTTTTCATCCAGATGAGCAAAGAGCATACCTGAGAGTTGCAGGGTTCTCCAGATCACATTGGCCTGTGATCAAGTGCAACACCTGGCAATGCAGTGTATGCTCCCTACAACTCTCTTGGCATATACCAAGGAGATTACTTAAAAGAAAATCTTATTGACAGCTGAGGTAACTTCAAAACAAAGTGAGGAATGAGGATCCCCAGCTGTGGCAAACTTTATTTCTTATTCAGGTCTCTGAGTAACCTAATGAAGCTCAGAGATATTCTGAGAAATAGAGCAGGGGAAGGGTGACATAAAGAAAGGCTGGGTGCAGACAATACAATTACAGACAAAGCAGACTCTCGGCAGTTAGTGAACTGTAGGTTATGCATTGTCTGAATCCAGTTGCACAAAGAAGCCATGAGAGACCATGTGGTTGGGTGGGGAGGGGCTATTCATCATGGGTTGTAAACTTGGCATAGTCAGCTCATAATCAGCCTTGAGTGTAAGTTATCATGTTATCTGAACTCTCTGTGTGAGTGTGTGAGAGGGAGAGGGAGAGGGAGAGAGTGCATCTGTGGGTGGTGATCCAGAGAAAATGAGAGGCGGGGGGGGGGGGGGGGAATGAATCCAATGACTACCAAGCAGGGAGAGAAAAATAGTTTGCCTTTTGTGAAATAGGGTTGTTAGTGCTGAAAAATATGGTTTCAAAGGAATGATTTAATGTGTGGTGTTTCAGGCTCCACCTCAGCTTTGTACACAGTTGTTTGGGCAAGTTACTTGTACAGTGTGATTAGTTATGTTTGTCATGGCAGCCATTTTGCAGTAGTGCTAATGCTAGTTTTGCCCACAGGCCAAAAAGGTTGCCTATGTCTAACTTAGTACTATCTTCATCCCTAAATTATTTTTTACGTTCTGTGCAAGCATGTGACTAAAAAGAGCCCTTTTGTACTGCATGTTCGTTCTCCCTCATTTTGTGCCTTATCTTGCAAACTGGGTCAGGCATCTATGAAGGCATCAGGACAGCTTCCTGTCTCACAATGCACTCACTTCATCTTATCTCTTACAGGCACATTTCCTTCAAGAGGCATTTGCCCAGGCAGATGCATGTTTCCAGTGTGGACTATGGCACAGAGCTACCCCTTGCGGCAGAGCAGCCAACTTGCATTGGCCGGATCAAGCCAGAACTGTACAAACAGAAATCTGTGGACTCTGAGGACCCCAAGAAAGAGGCAGAAAAAAACTGTGGGAAAATTAATTTTGCTTTAAAATATGACTATGAGAATGAGACACTGATTGTGCGGATCCTCAAGGCTTTTGACTTGCCTGCTAAGGACCTCTGTGGCAGTTCTGATCCCTACGTCAAAATCTACCTCTTGCCTGACAGGAAGCGCAAGTTCCAAACACGTGTGCACAGGAAAACACTCAATCCCACCTTTGATGAGTGCTTTCAATTTCCCGTGCCCTATGAGGAGCTGACCAACAGAAAGCTCCATCTTAGTGTCTTTGACTTTGACAGGTTTTCCCGGCATGACATGATTGGGGAAGTGATCTTAGAGAACCTCTTTGAGGCCTCAGATTTGTCTCGGGAGACTTCCATTTGGAAGGATATTCAGTACGCCACAACTGTGAGTATCTGTTGGTGACATTAGTGTGGAATATAAATTACAGACCACTGCTGTGAATAGTGTAACCTGGAAGGTTTTATGAGGGTGAGGTTGTACCACTAGACCTTGGTTGCTTTTCCTTATTGGCTTTCTTGCAGTTTCTCCAATTTGGAAGTGGTCCATGCATGATATCTCTTGGGTTCCAGATTTTAAGATCCACAATACGTTTTAAATGTTAACAGCTTTGGGAGTTAACACATACACCACATCATCAGCAGCATTTTTATAATCTGAGGTTATTACTTTCTAAAGTATATTTGCACTGCAATTTTTGTCATCTAAGGTTATATGAGGGACAGGAGTACAAGAGAAATTGTGTGAGGAAAAGAATCGGGTTCTCAGAATAGCAAGACATGGACCTCTATCTTCACTGAGTGTCAGTTTAAGCAAAACTGCCAACTCATTATTGCAAAACATGAAATCTATACATTAGTTTATAAAAACAACAACAACATGGAAGCTACTGGACTCTGGCTTATTACATGTTATATTTTGAACTTCTCCTAATAATAGGAACTTACAGTAATGAGTATATATGCAATAGCAGCTGAAGCAGACTAATCTTCATGAGAGTGAGCTGTGGGAAATGTTGCGGGACGGGCTGCAGCGGTGGGGAAAGGCTTTTTTAATTTTTAAAAAACCGTTCCTTCTTGCCACAATCTAATCAAGGCCCTTGCAGCAGCCCTGAAAAAAGAGTGGGTTTGTTTGTTTGTTTAGTCACCAAGTCATGCCTGACCCTTCACAACCCCATGGACAACATTCCTCCAGGCTCTCCTGTCTTCTACCATCCACTGGAGTCCACCCAAGCCCTACACCCACCACCCAAGCGACCCCATCTAGCCATCTCAACCTCTGCCATCCCATTCTCCTTTTACCTTCAATTCTTCCCAGCATAAGAGTCTTCCAGTGAGTTTGTCCTTCTCATTAGGTGGCCAAAGTATTTGATTTTCATCTCTAGTATCTGATTTTCTAAAGAACAGTCAGGGTTGATTTCCTTTAAGATTGTCTGATTTGATTTCTTTGCAGTCCAAGGGACTTTCAGGAGTCTTCTCCAGTACTATAATTCAAAGGCATCAATTCTTCAGCGCTCAGTTTTCATTATGGTCTAACTCTCACAGCTATACATTACAACTGGGAAAATTGACTATACGCTTTGACTATACGAACTTTTGTCGGCAGGGTAATATCTGTTTTTTAGCATGCTGTCTAGATTTGCCATAGCGTTCCTCCCAAGGAGCAAGCGTCTTTTAATTTCTTGGCTGCAGTCACTGTCTGCAGTGATCTTGGAGCCCAAGAAAATAAAATCTGTCACTACCTCCATTTCTTCCCCATCTATTTGCCAGGGAGTGATAGGGCCAGATGCCATGATCTTAGTTTTCTTAATGTTGAGTTTCAAGCCAACTTTTGCACTCTCCTCTTTTACCCTTATCAAGAGGCTCTTTAGTTCCTCTTCACTTTCCAAATAAATGTACCTTCATATCTAGTTTGGTGGTGGGTATTAGTCAAGGATAGAAAGTAGACTTGAGAAACAGAAATGGACTGGTCTCACGGAGAGGCTTGTGTGCAGGGAGTCAGGAGCTTCTGACTCGGCTTCCTGCAGTTTATTCAATGTATTCATTAGCACTTCTAGTGGACCCTGGTCTCAGGACATTAAAAGGTTCTCCTGTCGCTTTCATGCCTCCCACCTTCCTATTACTCCAAGGAATTACTTGCTGCTTTCGAATCCTATTGCTACCATTGCATTTCAGCTATTACCATGAAATAGATTGCTTTCCTCCACCTTAATAAGACGGTTTGATTTCCCAGTGCCCTCACCTAGATTTCTCTATCAAATCTGTACCTACTGTCCTAGAAAGGAGTAATCGGCTTGCTTTGTAACCTTGACTTTGAGAATAATTTCAATAGATTTGAAAATAAATTAAAAATGGATGTTTCTGACCGAATCCTCTCTAGAAGAGTTTGCACAAATTTGTTTCCAATGAGTGAGTTACAGAATTCACCAAATTGATTTTCTTCTCAGAGGTGCTGAGCCCACGAAATGCCTCAATTTCAGCTTTAAGGCAACTACCTGGGAAAAGTTGTATAATACTTTGAGTGGAAGGAAATTATTACCACACAGCAAGGTATACAGCCTGGTGCTCAGCATGTAATTAGTCTCAGAAGGGCCATTGCCTGAAGGCTTTTCTTACATTCCTGGCCTCCGTACTGTACTTACCCCAGAAGTAAGTGTCGTTGGTGCCGTGCTTTGAGTGCACAGTCTCATTATTTTTATATAAAATTCCCCATTTATCATTCTAAGAGCATCACTGTCTCCTAGGTTTGCAAACACTTCTGTAAAATTGTAGTGATTGCAAATGGCCCAGGAAACAATAAGATCCTTAGCAGATGTTGTTAATTTTACCAACCAGTTGGTTTCAAGCAGTCACCCTCCTAATCAGCATCATAAATATGCATTATGTCTTAGTCTGACCTCACCCAAGGATACTAATGCTTGTGCCTAATGAAGTTCTTAATCTCTTCTCCTTAGAATGCTGTGGACAAGCAAGTTAGATCTAATTTTTCTTACTGCTCATTCAAAATGCAACAAAAAAGGGTAAAATATGCTAATTCAATTATTAAGTCCAGATATAGAAAATGGCTTTTTAATTTTTGGGGAATTGGTTTGCAAGGAGAACCTCTGCTTGTTCTCCTTTCAGTTAGAATTAGAAGTACACTAATTCTATCTCTAATTAATGTGCATTTTATTTCTTTTCATGCCTCCCCAAGAGAAGCCGGTTTCTAAATGATTTTGGTTTCTTGTCTGGGAATATATGGCATTTACCCATAGTCACTAGCTCGCCTAGTGGTGCAAGGGAAGTCTAGCACTAAAGTCTAGGGCCTCGTAGCGCAAGGGCATGCCAAGGCCCTCTAGGGCTCTAATAGTGCTCAGACCACATTTTCCCCTCATGTATTAAAAACCAAACAAAGCAATTTTATGTTTAAGGGCAACTAATGAGCATGCATGTGTTTGCATGTGCTCATTTTATTATGTTCTTTAAATGTATATTTTTAAACAGCCAAATGGTTCTATTTTCCATGTAAATGAATGAGTTCACAAGACACAAAAAGCAATGTCAAAATTTTACTGTTGTGGATCCATTGTGCTCTACACCTGGAGTGTTCTTCCAGGGATCGTAGAACTGGGAGTAGCAAGAGTCAAAGAGCACTTCCACCTCCTCCTTGGACTAATAAAGTAACACCTGAATTACTGGGACACGGATCTCAAATACAGTCAAATAGTACTGCTGGATTAGAACTGTGTCACTGTTTTACATAGAATCCAAGCACAGGTACTGCTCATCTCAGAATGTATACATGGTAACATCTAAACCAGCTGTCACTGTCCATGCAATAAGTATTCTTGTGTACATAATTCAGTCATCTGTTATTTATGTTAAATGCTGCACCCAGAATGTAGACGAAGAAGCAGAAATGACACTCTTGCCTGGGACATTTTCTAGCTCGTGAGTTCAAGGTCTTCTGCTGGAGAGGTCTTCAACCATTACATGGGATGAGTAAATCCCTGCTCACCGTAGTGTCTGAACATACAAATACTACAGGGATACAAAGACAGGCACAATACTCTGTTCAGTCAGATTCAAAACTCCATCTACTTCATTAGCTAACTAGGTGGACTTGGCAACAAAACCTCTTTCTGAACCCAACATGAATTTAGAAGTTCCTTATAGTTCACTTGGAGTAGTAAATGTGCATTTCTTCATTCATCAGGGCTGGCTTTGCCACCATATCATTACATTAAATCTAGTACAGTACTAACAGGAAAGAGCTTTCTTATTTTTCTGTCTAGCATCTTCCCTGTCTAGAATATCTTCTCAATTTTCTATTGCCTTCTGCAATATAAAGTGTCCCATTTTTAATTTAAAAATGAAAAGTGAAGCGTTCTTAGCCATTTTGTGTAGAGGGGAGATGTTAAACAGAATGGTTTAGATTTTCCTCAAAATCAATGCCCATGAAGAATTTGAAGTACTAAAAATATGGATAGTGAAGATAGCTGAACATTCTCTATTAGGGATGTTAGCTAGCTATTCCATCACCAAGAGACTGCAACTCTTCTGCCCTTTATATGAAAGCAAAAAGCAAAACAAACCTGGATCACAGTGTATCCAGGCATCAAGTCTATTCCTGCACTGCACCTTTCAATTTAGTGGAAATGGAAAGTAGTGCTACTGGCACAGGAATATTATACCAAGTTTATTTTTAACCTCCCCCTCCAAAACAAACAAACAAAAGCTAAAGAAAAAACCCTCCAAAAACTAATCCAAATTGACAGAAAGAACATTCAGTTTGGAGCTCTTGTTTGTCCAGTCTCTGACATGGGCTTAGCACTAAGATCATACTTGTATTCTATTTAATTATCTCTGTTTAGAGAGCAAAGAAGAAATCAGAAGTACCTTTAAGCCACTAAAATTTAGCTCCTGCTCTATGGCTAGAAAATGACCTGGAAATTTGCCAAATTTCAAGCCTCAGCAATATTTTTTTAAATAAGAAATAAAAATTTTCTGCCTGTCTGGGTGTTGATGGCTGGAATTCCAGGACAAGAAAATAAGAAAGATAACGAATGCTTGTTATTACTTCAGTAACTGAAGAAGAAAAAAATCATAATTAATTTTGCATTATGGGCTCTCTATTGCAGTGTATGTTGTGTGTGTGTTCTTTGTTAGCCTTCCCTATCCCAGTTTCATACTACAGTACAGTTACTGGACAACCAGCTGCTGTGCCCAGCCTTTCTTTTTCTAAGTAAATTTTACCAGTTCCCTCAACTTACCATGGTAAGCAATACAAACTGTGCCCCAAACCCTTGAAGCTCCAAACCTTCTGGCACAGTGGCCACTTTTAATCACACATTGTTTCATGTTTTTTCATTGTCTGCTGGACAGTGCAACACAGATAGGTTGGGATTA